GCGTGACACAGTTATCATTAATTTATCATCTTTTAGTATGTTAAACTAGGATTCTTTGCCTTTCTTTATCTTTTAGAATGAGATTAACAAGCCATCACGACAAAATTAATCCCTAATTAAGTTTCTAAACAACATAGAAAAATTCTAATAAAATAAAGAGCACAAAAACATACAAAATTAATAATGAATTATAAGAAAATTTCTAATAAAACAAATAAAGAGAATAAAAAAAGCATGCAAAAAAAGAGACAATTATAAATTAAAAAAATAAAGAGCATAAAAAATAGACAATTATAAACTAATAAAGCAAATGAAGAGCATGAAATAGCATACAAAATTTATCCGCCTGCTTCTTCATCCTCTGTTTTACACGATGGAGTTGTTCCCGCAGCTGGCGAACTACAAAGTCCCGCTGTGATAACAGGGCATCGACAGCCTCGATGGGTGAAGTGGCGTGCTCATACGGTGGAATTGTTGGGGGAATACGCCCGTACACAATTAGGAACGGTGAGGATCCGATAGAAGGATGGAAGGATGAGTTATAAGAAAACTCAGCCCAGGGTAGAAATTGGCCCTAAATTTTGGGGTTTTCCATGGCGTAGCAGCGAAGATACTGCTCCAAGCCCCTGTTAGTAACCTCTGTTTGCCCGTCGCTCTCGGGATGGTGTGTTGTACTAAAGTGGAGACGTGTACCACTGAGTCGTGAAAGCTCTGTCCAGAACTTGCTAAGGAAAATACGATCACGATCATAGACTATAGCCTTGGGAAGGCCATGGAGCCTGCAGATATCAGAAATAAAAACAGACGCAACATTAACAGCAGTGAAACCTCCAGCCAGAGCCGAAAAATGGGCATACTTGGATAGACGGTCAACGACTACCATGATGGTTGTCTTGCCGTCGGAGTTAGGAAGACCAACGATAAAGTCCATGGAGAGCTCCTCCCAGATTGCTCGTGGGGTGGGCAAAGGCTGTAACAACCCCGCCGGAGACAACGACTGGTATTTGGTCACTTGGCACACCGGGCAAGTGCGGACAAATTCTTGAACGTCCAGTTTTATGTTGGTCCAATGGAAGTGAGTGGAAACTCTGTGCATAGTTTTTCGTACCCCTCCGTGACCACCAATGACCGTAGAATGAAAATCATGGAGGACAGTGGTTCTTATGTCAGAATCACAGGGCAATACCAGTCGTCCCTTGATGTATATTAACCCCTCACGTATCAAGTAATGTTCAGTTCCTTCTTTTTTTTCCTGAATTTGTGTTGCCAATTTCACTAATTCTGATTTACTTTTTACCTCCTCTCTGATTCGGTCAAGCAGGGGATTTACAAGGCTCGTCAAGGTCATAACCGTAGCTGCTTCCCGAGGATCTTCCTTGTCACCTTCATGAACGCGGGAAAGAGCATCGGCCACCTTGTTAACAGCTCCTGGGTAATATTCTATAGTGTAGTCAAACCCCAATAGTTTTACCAAGAAGCGCTGCTGTTCTGGTGTCTGAATTGTTTGTGCCATCAATTCCCGGATGCTTCGCTGATCAGTCCTGATGGTGAAGCGATTTCCCAGAAGATACTGCCGAAACTTGGCTACACTCTCAGTGATGGCGAACAGCTCTCGGACATATGTGGAGGACTGTTGCATCTTGGGGGACATCTTTCGACTGAAAAATGCAATTGGCTGATCTCTTTGGCTGAGGACTGCACCAACTCCAGTACCTGAAGCATCCGTGGTCAGAACAAAGGGTTCTGCAAAATTTGGGAGAGCCAAAACAGGAGCATGTGACAAGGCTTCCTGTAGTTGAACCATAGCCCGAGTAGCCCCCTCAGTCCAAATAAAAGCATCCTTTTGTAGTAGACTGGTGAGAGGTGAAGCAATCTGAGAAAAATCCTTAACAAACTTGCGGTAGTAGCCCGCCAACCCCAAAAATCCTCTCAACTGTTTGATAGTTTTAGGTGTCTTCCATTCGAGAATTGCTTGAATTTTTCCCCCATCAGGACGTACCCCACTTGCACTCACCACATGACCCAAATATTCTACCTCCCCTTGAGCAAAAGCACATTTGGTCATCTTAGCATACAGCTGGTTTTCCCTTAAACACACCAAAATCGACCTCAAATGTCCCAAATGCTCCTCCATGGTTCGACTATAAACCAATATATCGTCAAAAAACACAATCACAAATCGTCTAAGGAATTCTTTGAGCACTGAATTCATTATCCCTTGGAAAGCGGCAGGGGCGTTTGTGAGGCCAAAGGGCATAACCACGAATTCATAGTGACCCTCGTGGGTACGAAAAGCAGTCTTATAGACGTCCTGAGAAGCCATACGGATTTGATGATACCTAGATCTCAAATCCATCTTCGAGTATACAGCAGCCCCTGATAATTCATCCAACATTTCATCCACCGTAGGAATGGGAAACCTATTGGGAATAGTAACCTGATTCAAGGCCCGATAGTCAACGCAGAACCGCCACGTGCCATCTTTTTTTTTTAACTAGTAAAGTTGGTGAAGAAAAAGGACTCAAACTGGGACGAATGTAGCCACTGGTTAGCATCTCCTTGACCATCTTTTCAATTTCGGTTTTTTGAAAATGAGGATACCTATAAGGTCTAACACTCACTGCTTTACTTCCTGACTCCAGGTGTATTTGGTGGTCCTCTTTCCGTGGTGGGGGTAATCCCTGGGGAATGGAAAACACTGTTTGGAACTCATTTAAAAGATCTTGAACTCGAGGGTTCAGATCATCACCCCTGACTGAAGGAGCTGTAATTTCCTGTTCTACCGCATGCATTTGGTAGCAATAAGCAATGGAATCAGAGGGAGTGAGTCTCCTCAGTTGATTCAGCTGTATGGCTTCGACTGTGATGTTGGGTTCCCCTTGTATCGCCACTGACTGTTCCCCCATTTTGAACTTCATAATCAACTCCTTATAATTAATGGTGACATCACCCCATTCCGACAACCACTGCACACCGAGTACCACCTTCGCACCTTGGATTGGCAAAACATACAGGTCAGGGAAGAACTGATATCCTTGCACTTCGATGGTGACCTTCTGACACACTCCCATGCAGTCTAGGGTAGCCCCATTCCCTACTAACACCTGAAATTTGGTTTGCAGGTTGGATGGCCAAGCCCAAGAACTTCACAAGCCGATCCTGTATGAAGTTATGTGTAGAACCACCGTCTACTAATATTTGGACTGCATACCTAGTGATAGACACTAGGTATAGACACTAATTCACAAGCCAAGACATTTGTAAGCTTTGATTCCTGCATACCTAGTGATAGACACTAATTCAAATCTGTATTTTATTACTGTCAATTGAGAAGAAACGAGACGGTTACAAGTTCTATGGCAATTCGAGGTGCCAGCAACTCCAGAAATTGAGGTGAAGAAGAGAAGAAAGCAGTTATGCCTATCAACATACATGCCTCCCACGGTTCCCTCTCTCTGACTATTAAAAGACACAATTACAATGCAAATGGGCTACTTCCTATTATAGGCCCAGAAACCTTACTAAGACTCTCACTTATTAACTGGGCTCGCAAGACAGATGGCCCAAGACCCTAACTAACCCAATTCAGTCTATAGACCCCAACTAACCCAATCAGACCATAGAACATCTGATTGCCACGTTACTCTTTCTAGACATAGTCCTTCATCCACCTTGGTCGGTCACGTCTCCTCCCTCCCCTTCGTGTCTCCATGTCTCCTTCCCCATGTGTCTCCTGCTCCATCTCAGTTACTGCATGGCTGAGGTCCGCATCACCTAGTTTCTTGAAATCAAATAATGGCACTATCACCTAAATTACAGAAAGCATTTTCAAAATAAGAATTACGAATAGGGCAAGGAAAAATGAAACTCTTTTGTATCATTTAGTTTAGGTGGTAATTTTTCCGGAAGAATGGCAGAGGATCCTCCAATTTTTTCTTGTTTGCAAATATTTCCTACAAAAACAAGCCATATTTGGCCTTTTGGGAGATGGCTTCGGTGAAAGGGATGTTAATGTGGAGTTTCTTGAACATCTATAAAAAATTGTAGACTATTGATCTAGTTGGCTGCCCTTCAACCGTAGAGAGATGTATTGTTAATTTGGTTGGCAATACACTTTACTAGCGGGAGGTTGTACAATAACTTCATTTCCTTGAGTCCTCTACCATTGAAATTTTACTCACTCCTTTAGATTGAATTTCGTTTTCCTAGAGTGGTTGCAACCAATTTCTTTCCACTTCTTAGATGATTGCCACAGCTTGTTCCGTTTATGGATATCTCACTCTGCATTATGAAAATTTCCAAACATAATTAGTTGGTTTCACTCTACTTTTAAGCACATTTTATGGCTCCTTTTAATAAAAAAATTACCTTTTTTAAGCTTATGATGACTGAATAAAGTTCAATCCGCTCAAATTTCAAGTGCAACATTATTGGATTTAATATCGTCATGTGTTGACTGTTTTAGTTTGAACCCCCATTGTTTAGTCCACTTTTGTACCCAACTAAAAGAAAACAGCCATTCACTCATATAAGACGTTACTATCTTGTGTTCGGTAGTGATGATGTTATCTCAGGAAAGATATTTGGAGATAACATATAGTTCCCTCCACTGCACTAGATATTCAATTTGGATTTTTTATTTTGAGATATAAAATATATAAATAAAAAAATGTTGGAAATGAATTATAACTATTTAATTGTTATAATTACAAATTGAAAATACTTAAAAAGATATACATAAAAAATATATCAGAAATATTTAAGAATATTTAAAGTGATTTATAAGTAGATAGCATAAAGTTAGAAGGTATTTGAAGGCAACTATAATAAAAAAAAATTGTTTTTGCAATTTAAATATTGTTTATCTTCCAATTTTCAAATAATCAAACGTATTTGCAATTTTATCATTTTTATATTTTTATTTACACAATTAAAAGAATAATCAATTATTATTATTTTGGAAAAACAAAAATTATACACCAAAAGTGATAAACGCCTCATACCATCTAGAAGATTATATGATAACAATTACACAAACCGTCAAAATATGTGGAAAAGAATTTTCGTCATCTCATTTGGGAACATCTCTTCAGCTCACCTTTTCGATAGATATCCTTCTTAGACGGACTTAAAATTCCAGATTGCTCCTCAACCTTCTTAATGAGAAGCTTCAGTAGCGGAACCTTTAATAGAGTTCTACGAGACCCCACCATGATCAACTTTCTCTATAAGCACAAAGCATACAAAACTACTTATATGAGACAAGTCAAAAATTAAACATCTTCATAACAAGTAAAGAAATATTCCTGTGAACATAAAAAAGAATTGATGTTCGTGATAATTATTAGAAAAAAAAAAAAAAAAAAACTGTTAATGCTACAGAAGAGAGTACCATATTGCAGGGAAATGCTTGTCTTTTTGTTTTGTTCAATTCAACCTTGAGTTGTAATGATAGAAAACTAACCATTGGATGCAACCATATATGTTTCAATTTTGCAACAAAATTACGACATATTGAAATACAAAGTCAAATGTGTCGAACGTAATATATATGGCACTAAAGTCATGATTATGTTGGTGAAGTATGACATATATGAAGATAACAAGTTGAATTGAGAAGAAAAAAAATCAAAACAGAAGAAAAGAAAAGAAAACACAACTCTAACCTCTGGCTCGCCACTAACCTATTTTGACCCGCCTACATGCGGGGTGAATTTTGTTGGATTGGCAAGTTGAAATATACAACCCGCCCTGACCTGTTTTGGCGAGTTGAGGCCCATCAGATTCAACCCACTTTGCCAACTCTCTAAGGTGCCAAATGGGTGTATTCTGCCATGTTATGAGGTGGAGAAAAAGGGTGGTGCATTCACCGGTAGTCCTAGGATGAGTGTAGGTAAGAGGCGGAGAATGCAAATGGCCATAGGTCCTTCCTTTTAGGACACGAAAATGGTATATGTAGGTAGTTGTGAAACGTTCTAGAACATGTATGATGAGTGAGTGGTTCCTGCAAGTGAGTGTGTGCCAAATGTGGGGACATGCACATTACTGGTAGTGGAAATTGGTTTTACAGAGGGGCAAAATATTGGTGACAAGAACTTTGTCCAGTAACGCTGGTGGAAGTAGGCTTCACAAAGGGCCCAAACCACCTATCTAGAACATAAAGTAAGAGAATTTTTTATTTCAAGAGAAATTCTCTTCATGATAAAATTATGAATTATATTGTAAAGAACCTTGGGATACACCACCCCAAAAGCTAGCTCAAAGGGTGGGAGTGCCCAAGGTCTTATAAACTCCACATTAGTTGCACATACAACCAATGTGGGACTATATATCTCAACACGCCCCCTCACACGAGAGCCCATTGGGCTTGAAGGGTGGACAATGCACAGGCCCAACTACCTGTGCGAAGAAAGAAATTCCACCGGAAAGAAAGTGGAGGGCGGCGAGATTTGAACCCAGGACCAGGACACAAGGCTCTGATACCATGTAAAGAACCTTGGGATACACCACCCCAAAAGCTAGCTCAAAGGGTGGGAGTGCCCAAGGTCTTATAAACTCCACATTAGTTGCACATACAACCAATGTGGGACTATATATCTCAACATATATAAAGAAAAAATAGTGAAAGACCCTTTTCATTTATTTAATGTTGTAAATATTAGAATTTTATCTATTTATTTGTATTAGCTAGAATACTCTATAAGTGTATTTTGGACTTATCCGATTAGGTCTTTCAATACTCTGTAAATAGGCTCTTGTACAGATCTTATACAATTCAATAATATACAAATCTTCTTTTCTAGTTGGTATCAAAGCTCTCGATTCTGAGGGCTCTGCTTCCTCAAATCACCACCTTTAAAAACCAAACCCTATTTGCCTCTCGCCACCACAAAGCTGTCGCCGGAAAAAAATTTCCGAAGACCTTTTGGACCATGAGGACCCCTGTATCATTCTGTTTTCTCGAATCTATCATTCTATGGAGGTTTCTTTTTCATCAGACGACTGGAACAGCTAAAAAAAAACCGTACTGTTCACTCGACACTATTCACGCGCACTATTCACGTGTATTGTTCATAAAAAAAAAACAACCAGAAGAGAAATTTATTTTATTTTACTGTTCATCGCCACCAGCCACTAGAAAATTTTTCCATCCCTGATTATGTCGGATGTTGAAGATACTTCAACCAGTCAATCATATGGTACACGCTTCATTAGAATTACCATCTTAATGGGAAAAATTATTTGCAATGGTCCCAGCAAGTTCGTACCATCCTTAAAAAGCGTCATAAAATTACTCATCTTGAAGGACCATCTCCTGCCAAACAGATCCAAAATTTGCTGACTGGGATGATGAAGACTTTCTTATTATGACATGGCTATGGAACTCTGACTCCTGAGGTTAGTCAACATTGCATGTTCTTACCTACCGCTCTTGAGATCTAGGATGTTCTTAGATAGACTTACTCAAAGAAGCAAGATGCTGCCACCTACTATGACCTGAGGAATAGGATTTTTTTTCTACCAAGCAAGGCTCTCTCTCTCTCTAACAGGGTATTATGGTATTATGAATGGGTTATGAACTGAGCTTGATCAGTACCAGAGTTTGAAGATGGAGTGTAGCAAAGATGCAGCCACTCTGACCACCTCCATTGAACGCAATAGGATCTTTGATTTTCTTTGTGGTCTCAACTCAGAATATGACTCTATTCGAGTTCAAATTCTTGGTAAGGAAAATTATTTTCTCTTAAGTTTTTCACACTGTCAGGGGTGAAGAAAGTCGCAGGGCTGTCATAATGGATACCAAAGTGCCTGAAAGATCTATTATGCTCTCATCTAAAGTTACTATTCCAACTCCTTCTGATTCTGAGACCACTGACTGGTCTGCTATGGTCTCAGCTAAGCCACCTCCAAGGCCTTTTCCTCCTAAGCCTAGTAAAGAGGGACGTTGGTGTAAATATTGTAAAAGAACAGGTCACACAAAAGAGGTTTGTTACCGTCTTCATGGAAAGCAACAGGTTCAGGAGAAGCTTGGTAAGTCAACCTCACGTGGTCAGTCCTTCTTTTCCCCCTCAGACATTTCTCCTGTGAATGAGACCTTTCAGTTGCCTGGTGAGTTTACTACTATTCGTCATGAGGAATTGGAACGACTTAGGTCTGTATTTGAATCTCTCAATAAGCCTTCTAGTACTGGTACTTTGGCTATGACTGGTAAGAACTCATGCACTCATTCTTTTGTTGCTTCTTGTATTGATTTCAAAACTTCATGGATTTTGGATTTTGGTGCTACTGATCGTATGACTTGCTGCACTGACCTTTTTCTTTCTTATAATCCTACTGTTGGTATCTGTACTATAGTCGTAGCTGATGGATCACACACATCAGTTGCAGGTTCTAACATTAAAATCCAACCCTCCTTGTGTCTCAAGAATGCTCTCCATGTTCCCCAACTTTCTACCAATCTCCTTTCTACTCATAAGCTTACTACAGATTTGAATTGCACTGTAACTTTTTTCCCTACTCATTGTGTTTTTCAGGATCTCACCACGGGAAAGACGATTGGAGTTGCTAAGGAGCAGAGTGGGTTGTATTATCTGGTTCCAGACTTTGCTGCAGAAGGTACCAAGGTTCAAACTTTGATGACTCGTCAGTCTACTTCAGATTCTCTTATTTGGCTTCATCACAAGCGCTTGGGTCATTCTCCTTTTAGTTTACTTAAGTCTATGTTTCCGTCTTTGTTGGTATCTCAGTCTGTTGAGTCTTTTAATTGTGATGTCTGTCAGTTTGCAAAACATCATTCATTCTGATAATGGTGCTAAATGGTTGTATTATTCATTCTGATGTTTGGGGACCTTCCAAAGTCCCTAATGTTTCTAGTGCTAAATGGTTTATCTCTTTTATTGATGATTATACTCGGATAACATGGATATTTTTTATGAAAGATAAGGCAGAAGTGACACAGCTGTTTATTCAGTTTTATTATATGATTGAAACCCAATTTGGTAAAAGTATCAAACGTTTAAGATCAGATAATGGTACAAAATATGTTAATCAGCGTCTTTCCCAGTTTATTAAAGACAAAGGAATGACTCATGAGCTCATATGTGTGGATATACCCCTCAACAGAATGGGGTTGCTGAAAGGAAAAATCGACATTTGCTTGAAGTCACCAGAGCATTGTTGTTTCAGACATCTGTGCCCAACTCTGACTGGGGAGAAGCTGTATTAATTGCAGCTTATTTGATCAATCGTTTACCCTCCTGAATCCTTGGCCATGTAAGTCCTGTTGATCTCAAGACTTTTCTTTCTTTCTGTTCCTATTATGCAGAGTCTCCAATCTCGTGTCTTTGGATGTGTTGCCTTTGTCCATGTCCATAAACACCATCGGAGTAAATTAGAACCTAGATCCCTTAAGTGTGTCTTCCTTGGCTATGCTCCCAACAAGAAAGGATACAAATGTTACCACTTTCCAAGTCGTAAATTCTTTGTCTCTATAGATGTTAGCTTTCATGAATCTGAGTCCTGCTTTCAACACCATCAGCTTCAGGGGGAGAACAGTATAGAAGTGTTAGAAATAATATAATATTAAATAGCATTGTATTATTTATTATTCTGTTATTCTAGCAGGTTATTTGCGCTTGGCCCATTAGGTCATTTAACCTCTTTAAATAGAGGTCTTTTGTACAGTTCTATACACAATTGAATACAATACACATTCTAACTTTCAAGTTGGTACCAGAGCTTGTGTTCTGGGAAACCTAGCTTCCGCATAAAACCCTTCTCTCGCAGTGCATCATACCGACAACCTTTTTTTAGCTCTAACCCTTAATTAGTCACCAAATATTTATCCTTAACCTTGAAAAGTCAGAAACCAGCCTCCTCAACCTTAGTTAGTCAGAAATCAGCCTCCGTTTGCCGTCAGAACCGCCGTTTGCTACTGTTCACGATCACCGAAAAACTTTTTCGACGACGATTTCAACCGGAACACCTGCGATCAGGCTCTCCTTCCTCCGGCGACCGACTCTGTGGAAGGCCCATTACCGGCGGCCAGCTCACGCGCAGGTGACCTTTACTGCGCGTGGTGCTCACGCACCGCCTGTCACCGGCGCGTGAGCACTGTTCCGGTGAATCCAGCATAGAACGACTCGCCCTTTTCTCATCTTTCCAGATTTGTTCTCCGTTCGTCGTGGGTCTCGTCCATTAAGAAGATATCAGTCAAAAACATTCTATTTTATTTGGTCATCTGTTGTGGGTCTCTTTCCAGCACTGTTTCGTACGTTTGGACATTCTGTTTGTTTACTTTTGCATGATTTCTTGTGAGTTTGCAGTTCTTTGCTTTTATCTGGTCATTCTTTTTATATTTTTTGTGATGGAAGGCTTAGGTAGTGCGTCCAAAAACATTATTGGGGTCATCTCCAGTACTACCCCCTCCATTACAACAATGAAACTGACCAGATCTGCTACTTACAATACCTGGTCTACCTCAGTTAAGATCTGATTTACTGGTCAGGGATACGATCAATATCTCACAACCAAGTTTGCCGATCAGACACCTGAATGTGAAAAGACTGATGCTCAGCTGCTAAGTATCCTCTGGCAGTCCATTGATCTGACAATTATAGACATTTTCATTCCCTTTGAGACCTGCTATGACGTATGGGAGGAAGCTAAAAACCTTTACACCAATGACATTCAACAGCTTTTTTCCATTGTTTATCAGATAATGGAATTGCACAAATCACCAGAGTCTCGAATGGAAACTTATATTGGTAAGATTCGTTCTTTGATGCAAGAATTCTTAGCTATGCTACCTCATGCTGCAGATGCCTTTGCATACAAGAAGCAGGTGGAGCGCTTCTTTATGGTCGCAACCCTCTCTGGTCTTTCCGAGGAGTTAGAAAGTGTTCGTGAGAATATTCTACCTAGTGCTGGAACTCCTAGCTTGTCACACACTTTCCAACGTCTTTTGAATCTTAAGGATAAATCAACAGCTCCCACATATGTGCCAGCTACCGATTTCACTGCCTTCTTTTCTCGTTTCAATGATTTCAATTGGAACAGTGGACGCGGTCGTTGACGTGGCCGTGGCCGTGGACAGGGTGGCCGCGGACAGAGGCCTCGTTGCAATTATTGTCAGAATCTTGGACATTTTGAAGAACGCTGCTACAGGAGATACCCTCACTTGAAACCACCGACTGCCGACTATGAGGCACTTCTCAAGAAGGTTTCCTCTCAGCATCCTACTCAAGACACTGGTAATCATGTTGCTTGCCTTTCTCAATCATCTCTTGGGCCCTGGATAATAGACTCAGGTGCCACTCACCACCTTTGTGGTAATAAGGATCTTTTCACTTCACTTTCTTATTCTAATAACTTACCCTCTGTTACTCTTGCTGATGGCACTAAAGCTCTTGCTCGTGGAATTGGGGAAGCCAACCCAACTCCCTTTTAGCTTTGAACTCTGTTTATTATATACCTGGCATTCCTTTTAATTTAATCTCTGTTAACCAGTTGATTCATTCTCTTTCATGCACTGTTACCTTCTCTAAGAAATCCTTTTCTATGCAGGATCCGGGTACGGGGAAGACGATTGGAGCGGGCATTGAGTCACGAGGTCTATACTATCTGATTGCACCACCTTCTCCAGTAGCAAGTTCTCTCACAGAGTCTCCTCAGCTTCACAATCGTCTGGGTCATCCAAGCCTCTCCAAGCTTCAGCATATGATTCTTTTTTTATCCAGTCTTAAGTCTTTAAATTGTCAGTCTTGTCAGCAAGGAAACAATCCCCGCGTGCTTGGTTTGGAAGATTTACCAAAGTTATGCTTTCAATGGGATATAAGCAAAGTCAAGGAAATCATACTCTCTTTTTTAAACATTCTTAGGAAGGTAAGACCACTGTCCTTCTAGTTTATGTTGACGATATGATTATAGCAGGAGATGATATAGATGAGAAATGTGCTTTGAGAAAAAGACTGACAGCTGAATTTGAAGTTAAAGATCTTGGAAATCTGAGATATTTTTTGGGGATAGAAGTTGCTCATTCAAAACAAGGCATTTTTATTTGTCAACGGAAGTATGTTCTTGACCTCCTTAAAGAAGGAGGAAACTCGGATGCAAACCTTCCAGTACTCTGATTGAGCAGAACCATAGACTAGGAAGTAAAACTGATAGCCCTCCAGTTAACAAAGGACAATATCAACGAATAGTCGGAAGATTGATATTTCTAGCTCATACTAGACCTGAACTAACTTATGCAGTTAGTCAATTCATGCATGATCCAAAGGAGAAACACTTGCGAGCTGTGGACAGGATTCTCCAATTACTGAAAGGCACACCAGGCAGAGGATTATTGTTCTAGAGAGGAGCAAATCTCTCCTTAGAGGTTTATACAGATGCCGATTATGTTGGATCTGTGACTGACAGACGATCTACTTTGGGCTATTGTATGTGGTTGCTAGATCAAATGCAGAAGCGGAATTTCAGGCCATGGCTCAAGGGATCTATGAGTTATTATGGCTGAAAATCATTCTTGATTATCTCAAGGTGAGATATGAAGGATCTACGAAGTTATTCTGTGATAACAAATCAGCCATCTGTATAGCCCACAATCCAGTCCAACACGATCGAACCAAGCATATTGAGATTAATCGTCACTTCATCAAAGAGAAACTCGATAATGGCCTGATTACTGCTCCATATATCCCTTCTGGTCATCAATTGTCTGATGTCTTGACTAAGGGTCTACCTAATGATAGATTTCAAAAGCTTACTAGCAAACTGACAATGATAAATATTCATTCCTCAGCTTGAGGGGAAGTGTTGTAAATATTAGAATTTATCTATTTATTATTTGTATTAGCTAGAATACTCTAGAAGTGTATTTTGAACTTAGCTCATTAGGTCTTTCAGTACTCTTTAAATAGAGAGCTCTTGTACAGATATTATACGATTCAATAATATACAAATCTTCTTTTGTAGTTTTAATATAAGCATTCATTCAAACAAAAACCATACCACGATTAATGATGCTTAATTATTATATCATATAGTGAAATAGTCTCAATTAAAAGGTAGAAAGAGTGTTTGAGCATAACAAAGCTACCTTGGCACGAGTAAGAGCCACATTAATCCTGCGCCAGTCTCCGAGCAAAGAAGCAACACAACTTGTTGGGTTTTCACTAGATCTTACAAAAGACACTAATATACAGTCCTTGTCTCTACCCTGTACAAACAGACGACGAATTTATATGTATCATTATCCATGTGTATCATGTTTTTTTAAAGAACAAAAAACTTAATTGAAATGAAAAGACAGAAGCCCCTGAAATATGCCGTAAATGTTAATGAAATGGTAAACACTACACTATTGTATAAGAGGACTGGATTTTTGTAATGCAGGCTCACAAGTTCAAGGGCCTAATTGTTGGCATAATTCTTAATATTTGCTTCAGACTTACCTGGTATTTGTCAATGGTGTGTATCTCCAAGGAAGTTATGCAAGCAGCATGCCGGATGAGGTTTGCCTGTGAATTATAGGGAGTGATAATGCCAATATGTTCTCCTCCAATTCCATTTGCAACCAATTCCTTAGCAACCTATATAAAATGAATGGAAAAATGTTTACAGCGTGAATCTTTAATCAAAACACGGAAAGGGACCAATTTGACCAACCCACACAATGTTCTACTTTTGGGTTTGGATGTCAACCTATTTCCAAGAACAGATGGTCACCATCATATTTACCAATAAAGGATGATTTTGGTCCCGAAATATTCAAGTGCATTGATGATGCTAGTTAACTAAAATAAAATGAAGTGAATAAGTTTTATGTCAACCAATACAATGTCCAAGTGTATTGACCACGCATAGAGGATATTAAGCAAGTAATAAGAAAATTTAGAGACAATAAAGCTATTATTTTTGCTATTGCACGCAGCCCCATCCATAATGTTTAAAATGATTTCAGTGTTTATTGTCTCTCTAGCATTAATATCAATGATTAATTATGGATTATATTAACATTTAGTCAAAATATTCCTTGTTTGGTTGACACACTTTGACAAAATATTGGTAACGTAATATCAAATAATGGTTTATATTACTTTTATTTGGTTAATCCAAACCATCAATGCACTTTGTAAGGAGGGATATTTCTGGAAAAAAATAATCCTTCACAGTACACGTTACCAACTCTCAAGAGGAAATATGTTGAGAATCAATTTCCATGGTCCAACACTTAGCCAGGCTGGCTAGGTCTTTTTCCTACAAAAAATGTATCATCTTGAAAATGACATACCTCGGCAATTATGTGAGCTTCAACGGGGTTATTTACATTCTTCTGATCTCTTGCCTCTAAAGCGGGCAACTGGTCTAAGATGGGAAAAATAGAAATTTATATAAGCAATCCCATTCACAATGACCTTGAGGATAAACGATGAAAAAAGAAGTGATATTTACAAACCAGTATCAATAAATATCACTGGCCTTCCTGGATTCAAAACCTGCATGTGTTCATACAAACAGAAATACTTAATATAATTTATTTTACCTCAGCATAAGTATTGTTAATTGTGACAGTCATAAAAAAAATTTCCATTGAAGAAGATTTGGAAGTTCACTCACTCAAAATTTTATTTAAATGGAACTTTACTCATCCATATGAAAGAAAGGATTTAATGAAACACTGAGAGTACATTATTTAACAGAACTGAACTGTATTCGTATTATACAATCTATATTTTTCCGATTAGAGAATACATTATTTATAGGTGTAGAAGTTACAAAGCTTAACAACTACACATCATCAAAACTCAAGAATCACAACTGACTCTGGTACAGGGTGCGTACCACTTGCTGTTTCCAGATGAGTTTTCTCATCAAGGCTCACTATAACCAAGTGAAAAAATGTGACTGGAGGTCACCGTAGGAGTGGGAACAGACACAGGAGCTGGTGAGGCATAGGGTTGCTCAAGGATGGAGAGCCTGCCATGGAATGGACCATTCAAGCTCTTGATTCCATGAAAGAAACTGAGGAAGTGCAGGAAAGTGAAAGAAAATGATAGGTGAGGTTGAGAGAAACTGAACCGAACTGTATTCATATTAGGCAATCTATATTGTTCTGATTGTAGAGTACATCATTTGATGGTGTAAAAGGCTAGAAGCTACTAAGCTTAACAGCAACAAATTAACATAACTAAACTGAACTCAATAAAACTGTAACGCTCAGTTGCTTGAAGAATCAATGAATGTCCCCACAAACCAATACGAGACTTTTCAGCGTGTTTTCTTCCTAAGAAAACTTCTCAGGAGGTCACGCATCCCAGAATTGCTCCAAGTCAAGCATGCTTAACTATAGAGTTCTTAAATTACGGACTACCAAAAAGTAGATACATCTTGTTGGTATAGGTAGTACACATTAATTCCTTTAAGCTATCCTCAACTATACAGTTCCATACCTGCACAGCCTCTGGATCCCTCTCGTTCGGGTGTTGATTCGACTCATTCATGTACCCCTCCCGCTGGAAGCCTACCAGGAGCTTTTTTACTGTCACAACCCCTCCCACCTTAGCGGTCTGAACTCCACACACTGGGCTTTATCTGGACTGGTGGTATAGCCCGGCCCACGTGCCAAAGGAATATCTACCACCTGCCCTTGTCAGTGCCCGAGATGTTACAAAAACCATAACTGATTCTGGTATATAGTGCTATAAGCATAGCACATATAAGTGAAAGTACTCATAAACTCAACGCCTTAAGGATTTGGGTTGAGATATGGTGTCGAACCCCCTTGTTGTGGGATTGTTGTTTAGGCCTATTCATGTGTGGAAGGTACTCTCCCCTAGTTGGACTCCTCTTAGTCGCTGCCCTACAATGGTATCAGAGCCAATGGTTGATTGGCCTGGGTGTAGGTATTTGGAGATGATGATTAGTGTTCGGGTTTGTAGGGTGCGCAAACACATGTTCTGGACCAAGAGACTGACCCACTCTTGGTTGGTAACCCCATAAATGCTCGAAAAAGATTTTGCTTGAAGGGAAGTTGACAATTGTAGAAGTTACACTTGAAGGGGAGATTGTTGGGAATTCAACCGTGAGTGATAAAAAGTCCTAAATTGGAAAAGAATGGGCTAAGCATTGTACATATAAGTGAAAGGACCCATAAACCCAATGTCCTAAGATTTTAGGTTTAGATGTGATATTGGACCCCTTTGTTGTGGGTTTGTCACTTGGACCCATTGATGTGTGGATATAATCTCCCCTAATTGGGCTCCCCCAGTGGCGTCCCAACAGAGCTATTTGGCACCTTTTTTTTAAGCTAAAAGCTACTTTTAAGCTAAATTTAGAAAGAAAGAAAAAAAGAGCGTACAAAATAAAGTAAAGGTTATTTGGTGATTATATAAAGTTGTTCGGATGGTTTTAAGGGAAGGAAGATAAAATAATTTATTACTAGAATAAATTATTACGGTAAAGAAAAATTTATAAATACAAGTTTAGAATAAAGGTAAAGTTGTAAAATAAATATGAGGAGTCAAAAAAGCTGACATACATCTTAAAAAAAAGCTCCTCTTAGGAGCTTTTAGCTTTTAGCTTTTTTCTTCATTGTAAAAAAAAAAAAAAACTTTATAATAAGAGCTTAACAAAAACATGTTTGGCTAATCTTATACTTTTAAAGAGAAGAGAAGCTAAAAATAAGATATGACAAACAGGCATTAAGCTCCCTGGCTGTGACAAAAACAGTAAGTATAACAATCCTAATTCTCAAGATATGTTAAATAGAGGTTTAAGTGAGACATTGTATGAATTTTGTAACTGTTACAATAATTCTAACAGTTAAATCATGAAATTGTCATAATAATGAATAGAGGGATACAATTCATGCCTAACAAGTCAATTAAGACCTAATAAGAGTATAAGTTGTGTTAAGAGACATAAATACCAAAATTGTGATAATCGGGGTATTTTGGTAATTTAACAAACTAGGTCTGAACTAAAATCTGTCAGTCTAGTAAAATTGTTTGGTGAATTTTAGGTACTTGAAGTATGTTTAATTTGATAAGAGGATGTGTAGGATAATTTAAAGAATTAGGTCAAAGATTAAGTATATTAAAAGTAAGCTTAAACTTTACAATTAAGCTTAATTCTTGGTCAAAATGAATTGTCTTGATTTCTTCCTTACATGTCACACATGATTCATCTAATTGCATGTAAGTTGGTCAAAAATTCAAGTGTGTGATGTGTAAAGTTAAAAATAATAAGAATTTAGTTACTTTATGTTTTGAAAATGTCAAAAATTGTGTTCTAAGCTTATTCACTATGCATAAGTCGGTTCCTTCATCTTCTCTTGCATTTCCACGCTGCATTTGTGAGTTGCACATGAGTGTGTCTTCATTTGGAAGCTAACTTAAAGGTTTGATAAATATCTTAAGTGATAAAAGTCAAAAAAGTAAAGAAACTTAAGCATTAAGTCTTTAAAAATTGTACAAGTGGTCATTCTTCTCTTTTCTTCTCATTTCATGTCATCTTCCTCGTCTTTCTTCTTCCTTGGCCGAAAGTTACATGGTGAGGAAAAGCTTGAAAGAACTTGATTTCTAGCCATTATTTCAAGAAACTTTCAACATGAAACAGATTCCTTGTGAGCAAAACCCCTCAATCTATACACTTGAAAGCTTTGTTTTGTGTGAGATATCTTCTCTTAAAGCTTGGATATAGTTGTTGTCCCCTTGTGTTTTGGATGAACTTTTGCTTGGTTTTTATGTTGGAAAAGCTTCAAAAGGAAGCTATACAAGGTATTTGATGTTAATTTTGTTGGTTGGAAAATGATTTCTAAACCTAGGATTTCCTTTGTTTGCATGAAGTTTCATGGATGTTTTGTGATGTTGTTTGAAGTGGTTTTTGTGTTGGAAATTGATGGATTAATCATTTAAAGTAAATAGATCATCAAAAGAGATTTGAAAATGGAAAGATAAATAACCTAACCCTAAGTGTATGCTTCGGCCATCATTAGGAAAATTAGGGTTTCATGTTGTGTTGAAGTTATTTAATGTTTGATTGATGATTTGAAGTTAAATCAAGTGAATATATGTTAAGAAAATGCAAAATGGATGACTTAACCTTTGATGTAAGATTCGGCCAAGCTTGAATAAATGTGAAGTGCATGTTTTTTTCATGATGCCTAAGTGAAGTTAAGGTTGTGATGTGATCAATTGGTGATTGAAATAAAGAAAACATAATGAATTGCATAAATCATTGTTTATACGTACATTCGGCCAAGACATGTTAAAGTAGAAGCTACGAAAGTCTAGCCATTGAGTTAAGATTTCCAACTCGTCTTCCCTCTTCATTAATAGAATTCCTACGACATCACTTTTTCTCTCTTGTCATGCGTTTCTGGTACCCTCTAAGGTCCTAGTGTCTACACTATGCTTCTCTTTTTTAACATATACCTAAGTTATAATTGACACATTAATAGCTCCCAAATTTAGTCACACGATGCCCTCAAGGTGAAAATGAGGAAACTAATTGCGTATGTCTTCATATAGCTCCCAAGTGTTCGCACAAGTAGGAAAATCTTGTGATACAACCCACTCCAAACCCAACAAGGTATACAAAAGAGACAAGCATAGAAGAATTTGGGCTGCTGACCCAAGCCCAAGTAGCAAGGTCTCCAATGCTGATAGCCCAAGTAGCAAAAGTGTTGCTGACTCAGCAAGTTTGTTACAACCGATTATGGGAACACAAGAGAACGTGGGTGAAGCATGGATAAATAACGTGGAGGAAGAAAGAGAATGGATATCCAGAATTTAGAGAGTGGAATTGATTCCTTGGGAGAGAGTGGAGCCTCTCCAACTGCTTCACAACTATCTTTCTTATTTTGCATTGCTGATTTCCCTTATCGCTGAGTTTATTGTTGTAAGAGGAGTTTAATTGGAATTGTTATCCAATTTGCCTCAGTAGTAAGTTTGGAGTTGCTTGGGTATTTGTAGTTATCTTTCTGTAATACATTTCTGGAAGCATTTTATATATAAAGCTGGGTTTGTTCTTCTTTTACTAAATCCTTGTTATATCTCTGTTGGTTCGTACCATCTTGCCATTGAGTTAAGACTTCCAACATGCTTTCCTTTGAGTATTTGGTATCCACCAGGGCAACAAAGGTAAGTTGCATCTTCAAATTTGCATTAAGACAAGTAGGCAGAGGCTGTGGCTTCAAAGAAAAGGAAGAGAAAAGAAAAAAGAGAGAAAATAGAAAAGAGTCAAAATGTAAAGTGTTCTGTATATTCTCTAATTAATACAAAAGATGAACAGCGCAATAAGATAAATATTGGAGCTGCACAGGACAGCTCAGCAATAAAGCAACAAAGGTAAGTTCTAGAATTAGTACACCTTACCTATTCTAGAAACTATTAATTGAGGTAAAAACCAAGCAGTAAAACTGCACCGAAAATACAAAAAGACTATAATATCCTTAATACACCCCCTCAAACTCATGGTGTGATGAAAACAGTGT